CGACAGCTCGGAAATCATTTTCCACTATATTAGACAGTAATTTTGAAACTTAACTATCACTTTAATTGTGCAGAATCCCATAAAGAAAACATCGCCCCTATGACAGCAGAAAGCAATTGTAGAGGACAATGCCCCTTATCCCAAAAAGTTTGTCTTCAGGGTTGGGAACAACGTTTAGGAGTTGTTGATTATTACTTGCATTAGATAGAGGGTTGGGGTAAAAACTATGTTTGTCTTTAGAAAAAGGGATAAAAATAGTGGGTAATAGAATGAATACTTGTGAGATATTATTTTTGGATAATTTACATTGGTATAGTTTTTGTATATTGATACAAGTTCAAATTATATTTGTTATTTTTGTTTATTTGTGCACCTATTCAAAGTTATTCTGTCAGATTGTATATATGCATGTTTCTACCTCTGTTTAGGACATTTTGTATATTGATAAAACTTTTAGGATATATTTTCATATTGCATTATATATTATTCCTACTTCTGATCAAGATATTATACATTGTTTACATTTTGAGGTCATTGTTCTCATTTGTTGCATATTTGTTTACAGATTATTGAATATTTTGACATAATGTTTTAGTCTTTAACTTATACAGGTATTAAATATTATAGGTCAATAGTTGTTCATGTTTGTTGTACATACAGCCAGATCAATTAGGTTATTTTGATACATAGAGATTGTATTCTGTCTAGATAGGTAATCTTCAACCACTTTAAGGATCTGTAGAACATGGCATTTAAATAACTTAGAGTTCTGCTGACATGAGACATGATTGCTTCTGACAGCACTAATCTACTCCCAAGAGAATGTTGAGCACCAAAGATACTCCACTAAAAGTTTCTTTTCTTCTTGGCACAATTAGCCTTTGGGCAAGGAACTACCCATTCTTCAATCATGGACAAAGTACATGGTATCTGGAAATGGATAAGCAGCACACAAGAAAAAAGACTGTCAAATCTTGCCAAGACAGGGTAATATGGTTCTGAAAAATTTTCTGCCTCTAAAAATGGTCTGTCAGTTTTGCTAGGCCTTAGCCAAAGTTGGTTGCTTCAATGTTGCAAATGAGACTTTGGGTGATTGCTCAGACAATTAGATAGCTAATTGTCTCTGTCATATATTGCTCTCTTTGGAAGCTGCTTGATTGTACTTTCTGCCTGCTCAAAGTAATAATATCTCCCTTCTCAGGCCTTCGATGGGGTTGAAGATTAGATAGTTGTTGTTACTGTCCTCTTATGATCTAGCCAAGCCATTTCCTATACAAGACTTAGACTCCCTAGGATAGAATGTTTATTAAAACATTTAACATATGTTCCTTGCTTAATGTTGTTTATGCTGGTTGTAATTCTAATTATTCTTGATATCTGTTCCTATTGTATATAGTTTTGTATTGGGTTTGGAATTCTCTTATTTAAATAAAAGAGGGAGGTGCTGTGAGTTCTAGGACAGCCAGAGCTACACAGAGCAACTTCATCTGAAGAAAAACAAACAAACAAACAAACCCTAAAACCAAAATACATAAACCATTTTAACCATGTTGGACCATGATTGTTAAGAACACAGCCCATAGCCAGGCAGTGGTAGCACATGCCTTTAATCCCAGCATTTGGGAGGCAGAGGCAGGCAGATCTCTGTGAGTTTGAGGCCAACCTGGTCTACAAGAACTAGTTCCTGGAGAGGCTCCAAAGCTACAGAGAAACCCTGTGTCAAAAAACCTAAATAATAATAATAATAATAATAATAATAATAATAATAATATAATAACACAGCCCAACAACCCAGGAATTGGGACTGAATGTGGGATAGAAGGATAGAAAAATCTGGCTCCCCAGAGGGCCTGCTCATTAGCCTTGGCTCACCTCTATTTAGAGTTCCTAATTATGAGAGAAACAGAATTATACTTGCCTATAGAATTCGGTGTATACCCCTGTGCTAGGCTTCCTTTGTGATCTGTCTGTGGCACATTTTGCCAGTGTCATCATGCAGACTCTATGTTTCATTCTCTAGTCTGCAATTTAAATGCTCCTATCATTCCTGACGCCATTCTTTTCTCTGAATACGAGCTCCTGTTTCCTATTTTTGGCCTTCTTACATATAAAACTTTCTCATTTAAACACTTTACTTCATTAGGGAATAAAGGCAAGTTACACACCCACCTGCCACTCCACATTTTACCATTTTACTACCATTTTCCTTTCTTTCTTTCTTTCTTTTTTTTTTTTTTTTTTGGTTTTTCGAGACAGGGTTTCTCTGTAGCTTTGGTGCCCGTCCCAGAACTAGCTCTTGTAGAGCCGGCTGGCCTCGAACTCCCAGAGATCCACCTTCCTCTGCCTCCCGAGTGCTGGGATTAAAGGCGTGCGCCACCACTGCCCAGCTTTTACTACCATTTCTTGAACTCATTTAGTGACTTTTCTTTTACTTCCTTATGTGTTTCCTTTGAAGATGTGTGCTCAGATAAAAAGAGCAATATTCTCAGTACAGAATTATGGTTTAATCCCAGTCTGCAAGAAACATTGTGGGATCTTTATTCTTTGCTTTCCAAACCTCCTCATTAGTAACTTCTTGATTTCTTTTTTCTTTTCAAAAAATATTTTTATTGATTCCTTGAGAATTTCAGAGAATTTTGATCCTTTCCCCATTTCTAGTTGACCTCTTATCTTTTGGCATCCCAGTATCATTTATTTGTATTTTCCCCCAATTTTAATTGCCTCGTGATCATTTTATTCCCTTATCCTACCAAAGTATGTGGAGGAATGTTACAAGTAAGGCACTCAATCTGATTGAGCTTTAAGTATAAACATAATCTTTAAATTTTCATTTTAGAGCTGGGCCGTGGTGGTACATCCCATTAATCCCAGCACCCAGGAGGAAAAGGCAGGAGGATCTCTGAGTTTGAGGCCCATCTGGTCTATGAACTAAGTTCCAGGTCAGCCAGAGATACCTAGAGACACCCTGTCTTGTAAAACCACCCCACCAAAAACAAAACAAAACAGCCACCCCTATAAAAATGAAAAAAAAATTTCACTTCATTGACTCATTTAAACAGAGTTTAAGAAGCTATTATCACTTCCTTTTAGAGGTGGAGAAACAGTTTGGAGATGTTAGATTATTTCTCTAAGCCAGACAAGTAGAAGAGATGAAATTGAAAGCTGAGGTCAGCATGGTTGGCACCATTGTCTGCTCTCTTCCCATACTTCATGTTCAGTTTGGATGAACAAATTAGAGGTCTTCATGTCAATGTTTGGGAGCAGAGGTAAAATAGGTACAGATCCCCAATGTCACCCTCTGCAAACTCATGGGTTCCCTAGAATTTTAAGGGGCCAAACCAGTATTCATGACTAATGATGATGATGAAAACCAATTTCAAGGATAGTCAGTACAATAGCAGAGTTGACAGTTTTACTCAAGATATTTTAATTCAGGCTTGTGATGAGGAAATAACACACTCAGAAGTAAATAAGGCACAGTGAAGAGTACGTCTGTGGGCTTCTCAATAACATGTGCTCATTGCTTCTGCAGTAGTCATAGATGAGATTTATGTGGAGTTTGAAGTTATCTTACTACTATGTGGCTATAGAGGGGTAACTGACAGGAATACAATTGACAGAGTAGGGGTGTAGTCCTACAAACATAAAGGAGGGTAGGATATGCTTCTGTAGACAAAGTTACATTTAGTTTGAGATTCTCAGGCAATGTCTAGACAAAGGAATGAGGCCGTGCCCTGGGCAATATACATTGGGGTCTTAAGCTTAGACCATTGCCAATTTTACATACAATATTTATGCAGAAAAGAAACATTAACTATATGTCAGCAACCTTTGCAGCAAATGTTGTTAATTGTGATAGAATCCTTGGAGAGCTGGTAAGAGGTTTTCATCAGACTCTGAGATGATGCTCCTTCTCCTCTCATGTCTCATGGGTTCCTTGTCTTCCCACCCTGACTCATTCCCATAGAATCCACCTCTGACTTGCTTTTTTAATAAGCAGCAGTTGCTGGCTTGATTTTTTAGCTGTAAGGTTGAATACCTTTATGCTGACTATGCTTTCTTCAATTCTCTAACCCTCTTGTCTGTGACCCTATGCATTTCCTGGTTCCTAAGGCTTTTATAGTTTTGATCCCTGAAAGTTCCTTCAACCTCTGTTTGGAATGTCCTATCCTAAAAGTCAAGATAGCTGGAAAAATCACATCTTAAGTCCTGCAATCATCTTGTCAAAAAGAAATGACATTTCCCCTTCCCCTTTTTGGAGGATTTTTCTTGAGCAAGCCTATAATTTAATTATCCTTTCTCTGTATCTTTGTATATATACACATTTCTTAAGTTAGATAAGCCTGCCACCAGACACAACCCAGGAATATATACACCTTTTTGGAATTTAAGTAAGCATCTTGTCAGCTATAATCCAGAGAATCTTTTCCTTAAGGTCCTGGGAAACAAGACCTGTGGTGTAAATTTAAAAAAAAGATGGTGCCCCTATTTTCCTGCCACGTGTGTTAACGTAGGTGCCTTGTTTTAATCAGTGAACACTTGCTTGACAGAGAGATAGAGAAGCTGTATCTTTCCCCCATGGGGCATGGATGTATCGGACTATGCCTAAATCATACAAATGGTACCAATTTCTTGCCCAAATATGTTCGCCTGCTATGCCTTTCCCAGTGTGGCTTGAGGCTCATAAGATTGAAATCCTCCCTTCTGTTCCTCTCTATTTTACATTTGTGGATACTTTGGGATTTTATTTAAAATATCAACAGTATCAATCTAATTATATGACCCATAACTTTATTACCCTCTCTCTCCGTGCCTTCCTTCCCACATGCTTTCCCACCGTAGGCGAGCGTTTTACCTTATCCATGGCACCTCAGTATCTATCTGCCTTGGGAATAGGGCGAGGTAACGGAAAACGCCTGTGGGTGCGGAGAACCACCACTCCCAGCATCCTCCGCGCTCCCCGTGCCCGCGGTTTCCTCTTCCGGTCTGGCGGCTGAGGAAACTGTAAACGCTATGCTGGGGACGCGGCGCGGAGCTTGATTCACCTTCACCTGCGCCGGGCACCAGCTGACCCCGGGCTTCCGCCCGGAGAGCAATCAGCCATGAACGGACGGGTGGATTATTTAGTCACGGAGGAAGAGATCAACCTGACCAGAGGACCCTCGGGTAGGCGCGGTAGCGCGGGACGTGGAGGGAGTCATTGCTGAGCTCGTTGGTTTTGCGGAGCCGGGTGTACCTGGCTGGAGAGCAGGCCGGCCCGACCAAGGCGCTTGCACGAACGCTGTCGGGCACGAAGAGTCCCTTGGCATCCTTTGTTAGCTAGATAACGGCCACAACCCAGTCGAGTTATCACAGCCATTTATGGCCAGGAAAGGCTTTTTCCCCCCTGCTGGCATCAATAGAAAAGTCTAGAAAAACGCCCCGTTTAGTCAGCCTGTAGTAGACGCCACATCCGTTATTCAGTTGCCCGCCTCATCCTTGTTTCTCTGAGCGCCCGTTCAGGTAAAAACGAGAGCAATAAACGGCGTAGTTTTCGTAGTGCACAGCAATTTCCCGGGTGCTAGGGTCTCTGTCTGCACTTCTGGCAAATTAATTTACAGTGTCAACTGGAATTCTAAAGCAGGAGGAGACCTGTTACAGAAGTTTCCAGACCTAGTGCCATCCCAGAATTACTTGGACCTTTTTATTTTTTACTTTTTTTATAAACAAATTAAAATGAAAATGCTATTTTCTAGCTCCATTAGGGATTTGGATTCTGTATGGATTAAACAATTTTTAAAACACTTCATACGATTCTGACAGGAAAATTGCCACTCAGTCTTCCCGTGCGATCTCCCTCGTTGATTCTCATGGTTGGCCTGGCCTTTGACGTCACCCCATAGTGCCACTGTCTCCCTTGGACCTTGTTGTTTTCTTTATGGCTGTCACATTTTAGGTTTAGGGTTAACCACTTATGGCCAGGTTTTTATCCAACACCTTACCAGCTGGGGTTTTTTTTTTTTGTTGTTGTTGTTTTTGTTTGTTTGTTTGTTTGTTTGCCCGGTTGGTTTTAATTTATTGGCAGAGAAATTTAACTGATGGATGCTATAGTTTCTTCTCTGTAGAATGGAGATGGTTATGAAATACAGTGTTTCACACATCCCATGTGTTAGGTTGAAGCCAGCGACTCCCTGGAAAATACTTGAAACATCATCTTGACATATGGTTAGCAATGTGTATTGGCGACTATTGTTATCACTAGTGAATGAATGACTAGATTGACCTCTGTAAGTTCTGATAAATATTGTATTCTAAGAGTTGAATAAATCCTTGGTTACTGTGACTTTCCATTCTATTTAGAATAGCCTGCCAACTTTTCTCATCTAGAAGTTTGCAATAGCATAACCACTGCTGATAGATTATTCTGTATAAAGCACAACTTTCAGAATTAGTCATGACTTTTTGTCTTCCTGGTATTGGAAATTGGAAGTTGGCCTTTTTTATAGGAGTAACTCATTGCTAATCTTTATGGTTTATGCAGAAGCTCTGTCCTGGTTGATATATATATATATATATATATTGCCAACTTGGCAGAAGCTAGAGTTATCTGAGTAGAGGAGCCTCAGCCTCAGTTGAGAAAAATGTCTCCATCAGATTGCCTGTAGGCAAGCCTGTGGGGTATTTTCTTGATTGAGGATTGATGTAGGAGGGTCCAGCTCATTGTGGGCAGTGCTACCCTGGGCAAGTGGTCCTGGATTGTAAGAAAACAGCCTGAGCAAGTCCTGAGGAGCAAGCCAGTCAGCAGCATCACTTCAGTTCCTGCCTCCAGGCTCCTACCTTGAGTTCCTGCCCTGACTTCTCTTCTTGGTGGACTGTTACCTGAAAGAATAAGATTAAATATATCCTCTCACTCCTTAGTTTCTTGTGTCACCGTGTTTTGTCACAGCAATAGAAACCTAAGATACGCTCAGAAACTTTCACTCAAAGGCTTTTCAATAGGTCTTGTATTTAATTTTCTTATTTTATACAATTCTTTTCTCAATATTTATTGACTTTTAAGACTAATATGGTAGATACTGCCTATAGTTTAGGATGGGTCTTTCCACTTGAAATAACCTGATCAAGAAGATCCCTTATTTGTTTGTTCATGGCTAATCTCTTAGTTGATTCTAGATCCAGTAAAATTGAAAACTAAGATTAGCCATCATAGTGATGTGAATCGTTGAACTTTCTAGGAAAAAGTAATTACAAAGTTAGGATTGAGTTTGGTAAAAACAATCATTGGAAGTTTATTGGTTCAGTAAATAAGGAAAGGTACCAAGTTCCTGCTTAGCATTTCCCAGAGCTAGCTCCTGGTCTGTGGCACTGTTTGTTGTTTGCAGTCTTCATGGTGACATCTTGAAGATACACAGGGAAGAAGTCAGCAATTACCACTAAAATCCGAGTAATTTTGGTAGTACCATAGAAGTCTTTCTTTCTACAGGAGAAATATGAGAAGTCTCTGATTCTCAGTATACAGTTCTGCTTATAGGCAACATTGTCTGGTTTAGCTGGGTTAATGTGTGTATGATTACTTCTTTGTGCCAGAATAGTGTCAGACAAGAATCTTGGATATTTGCAGCTTTGTAAAGCAAATGAATCTACTGAAAAAGCAGACAAACAAACCCACAATCATGGGAAAACCACAACAATGAAATGAGTATCTAAGGGGTGAAAAGGAAATGGTGTGTAGTGTGGCCTTTGCCCTGTGCTTACTTCCTTATCATTGTAAGGAATGTCGTGGCAGTCTTTGATTTCAGAAGGCTGTTCCTCTTTTGTTCTTGGGCTCATTCCTCATGCTATTTTAAATAATTTATATCATTTAAAAAAAAGATTTAAAAATTTTTATCTACATGAGTGCTTTCCCTGCATTAGTATGTATACCATGTGTGTGCCTGATATTCATAGAAACCAGAGGAGGGTGCTAAAAACCCTGGAACTAGAATTACAGTGATTGTGAGCTATATGAGTAGGTAGTGGGAAATGAACCCAGGTCCTCTGTAAGAGTAGCAAATGCTTTTAACTGCAGAGCTATCTCTCTGTGCCAGTTTTTGATTAGCTAGTGATCTAAATAATTGTCGAAGGCAGTAGTCATCATCTCAAATATGTTCAAAGGTTGAACAGTTCTTTTATCCTTTAAGTACAACTTTGTTGTACTTGAAGGCTTTCACTTTTTCCTATATCAAATTTAGAGATCTTAAAGTTGTCAAGGTTATTACTTTAAACAGTATGATAAGACTAATCTAATTTTTATTCTCTGTACCAGAGATTGAGCACAAAGGTTCTACTGCAACTGAGTAATAGAGGCTTCCAGTATTCCTACATAAGGGCTCAGTGGGTTTCAACAAGTTACTCCCAATCTGCCATCTTTAGAGAGGGAAGAAGAGACACTCCAATTCCTTACAGTCTTCAGAGGCCTTTCAAAGGAAGGAATAGATAGTTAACACAACACTTTCATAAAGAATAATTAAGGAAGTACCTTTCTGGAAGAGTGATAATTACTATGTATTTTGTACTTGTATTTTATATTTTGCCCTGGCTAAATGAGTCTCTATTTATAGTCACATAGGCTTATTTAGTTCTTATAGAACACTTTAGTGGTAGGTATTTAATCTACACTATTTGAGGAGTTATCTGAGGGGATTTGAAGACTTGCCCAAGAACTAAGGCCAGTAAGATTCAGAAGAGTCTACTCTCTAGGTCTGTTCAGTCTACTGTACTAGATATTTCCTCCTGTCACAGTGCCTAAGGAGTTGGTTGCTAACCTTTCCCCTGGCCTTTATTTTGCTATAGCATGCCTTATTTCCTAGACAGATTTAATGTGTGCAAAAAGGATTAGAAAATCCACTGTGGAAAGTTTTTAGATTTTCTGTTGGTAGATCTGCAGGCGTATCAAGGTGAGAACCTGAAAATAGAACAGTACATCTGAGTACATTACACCTGAGTACTTATGATTTTTTAGTCATGTTCTTCCCCTAACCACTGTCTGCAATTGTTGCTAAGTTTCCTGGTTTGTTCCTTTCTGCATCTGATAAATAGACTGGAGACCATAGTGCTATATCTTTGCTCTGTTTTTTCTGGTTATAGGAAGTTTAGCCATTATGGAATTTACAGTACAATAGAGACATAGTATTCACATGCAGAGGGTTAAATCTCATTGCATAGGTTCATGTGGTTAAAGACTGAGAGTATGTATGTAGCAAGAAGGCAAAGAAAGAGGGATGCCTGGAAGAGCATGCCAGCCTGACCATGTGTTGTTTTTCCCATTACAGCAAAATACCAACAGAAACAATTTAAGGAAGGAAGGCTATATTTTGGTTTATAGTTTGAGGGCAGCGTCCACCATGGCAGGAAAGGCCCAACAGCAGGAACTTGAGGTAGCTGGTCACACTCCCTCACAGTGAGGAGGGAGAGAGAGGAGTACCAGTGTTCTGCTCATTTCCCCCTTTTTGTTCAGTCTAGATCCCAGACTACAGAGTGGTTCTTCCTCCGTTCAGAAAAAGTCTTCCTTTTTATTAAGGTTTCCAGGAATACTCTCATAAATATGGTCAGAAGTTTGCTTCTAATGTGATTTTTAAGTACAGTCAACAGTAGTTAAGTTGAACCACCCCAGTCTCCATACAGGAAAAGGTCAAAAGATGGAGCTATGGGCCCGTCTTATAGTTTAAAGAGGGTTAAACTTGGTGGCTTTAAAGAAAGGACAGGTTATAGTGCCAGGATCGGGGCAAAGATAGCTTTAGCCATAATAACAAAGAGAAATTAAAAATATGTATTTCTAAGAGATGAGTGAATAAACCAGTCTGGATATAGGAGAAGTTTTGCTTAGGGGATTCAAGAGAGAAGTTGCTAAGGTAAGCAGAGATTGAATTGTAGAGAATATTCAGTGTAACTGAGGAATCAACCTTTCCCTTAGACTCCATCTTAATACTTTCCTCTTCTTATTCATTGGTTAAGACAGCCTAAGAGAATCATCTCTGAAAGTTTTCTTAACCCAGGCTAGAAGCCGCCTTATTAGCAATATTGTATGAGTTGTAGATCACCTTCCATGTATTGCTGTACTTACTCTGAAGCATTCTTTTTTTTTTTTTTTTTTTTGGTTTTTCGAGACAGGGTTTCTCTATAGCTTTGGTGCCCGTCCCGGAACTAGC